TACGCATGAGAGGATTGAAAATACCATCGCTTAGGTTTGGCACACCTTAGTCTTCAAGGAGACATCCTTGCTTCACAGCACTTGAAATAGGTCTTCTGCAACAGATGTGCCTAGTGCAATATGTCATCTGATGTGTTGACTGCTGATGCCATTGGTGTTGATTGTGGAACCAAGTAATATGAAATCTTTGACAACTTCAGTCTTTTCTCCATTTATCATGATGCTGCTTATTGGTCCCGTTGTGAGGATTTCTGTTTTCTTTATGTTGAGAGGTAATCCATACTGCAGGCTGTAGCCTTTTATCTTCATCAGTAAGTGTTTCGAGTCATTCTCACTTTCAGCAAGCAAAGTTGTGTCATCTGTATATTACAGGTTGTTAATGAGTCTTCCTCCAATCCCTGATGCCACACTCTTCTTCACATAGTACAGCTTCTCAGATTATTTGTACAGCATACAGATTGAATAAGTATGGTGAAAGGATACAACCCTGATGCACTCCCTACCTGATTTTAAACCATGCAGTATCCCCTTGTTCTGTTCAAATGACAGCCACCTGGTCCATGTCCAGGTTCCTCATGAGTACAGTTAAGTATTCTGGAATTTCCATTCTTATCAATGTTATCCATAATTTGTTATGATCCACACAACCAAGTGCTTTGGCATAGTCAATAAAACACAAGTAAAACATCTTTCCGGTGTTCTTTGCTTTGAGCCAAGATCCATCTGACATCAGCAATGATAGCCCTTGTTCCACATCCTCTTTGAGTCCAGCTTGCACCTCTGGAAGTTTCCTGTCAAAATACTGCTGCAACAATTTCTGAATTATCTTCAGCAAGATTTTACTTGGATATGATATTGTTTGATAATTTCCATATTCTGTGGGATTACTTTCTTTGGAATGGGTACAAATACAGATCTCTTCCAGTCAGTTGGCCAGGTAGCTGTCTTCCCAAATTTCTTGGCATAGACAAATGAATGGCTCCAGTGCAGCATCCATTTGTTGAAATATCTCAATGGGTAGTCCATCAATTCCTGAAGCCCCGTTCTTTGCCAATTCCTTCAGTGCAGCTTCAACTTCTCCTTTTAATTCCATAGGTTCTTGATCATATGCCACCTCCTCAAATGGATGAACATCAACCAATTCTTTTTGGTACAGTGACTGTGTATTCCTTCCATCTTCTTTTGATGTTTCCTGCATCATTCAATATTTTGCCCTTAGAATCTTTCAATATTACAACTCAAGGCTTGAATTTTTTCTTCAGTTCTTTCAGCTTGAGAAATGCCAAGCATGTTCTTCCCTTTTGATTTTCTAACTCCAGGTCTTTGCACATTACATTATAATAATTGACTTTGTCTTCTCAAGCTGCTCTTTGAAATCTTTTGTTCAGCTCTTTTATCTTGTCATTTCTTCTGTTTGCTTTAGCTATTCTGTTAAAGGGCAAGTTTGAGAGTCTCTTCTGACATCCCTTTTGGTCTTTTCTTCTGAGTCTGTCTTAGTCTGGAAGCTCCACTGAAACCTGTCCACCATGGGTGACCCTGCTGATATTTGAAATACCGGTGGCATAGCCTCCAGCCTCGCAGCAACATGCAAGTACAACAAACTGACAGATGAGGAGTGGAACTGAGAGTGCCTGAGATATCCTATTCAGGGTGCCTGAGACACACTAACTAAAGAGCCTGAGACGGCCTTTAACTCAGGATGCCTGAAACCCCCTAACTCGGGGGGCCTGAGATCCCTTAACCTGCGGTGCCTGAGTCCCCCTAACTCAAAGTACCTAAAACCCCTTGACTTGTGGTATCTGAGAACCCCTCCCAATTCAGGGTGCATGTGACCCCATGACTCAAGGTGCCTTAAGTTCCCTGACTTGCAGTGTCTGTGATCCCCTGTATTAAGTACCTGAGAGTCCCCTAATTCAAGGTACTTGAGACCCTTTAACTTGAGATGGCTGATACTTCCTAGTTCAGCATGCTTGTTTTTGTTAGGTGCCATCCAGTTGGTTCTGACCCATAATGACAAAATGTACAACAGAACAAAACAGTGCCCATTGTTGCAGCCACTGTGTTGATCCATCTCCTTGAGTATCTTCCTCTTTTTCATTGACCCTCTACTTTACCAAACATGATGTCCTTCTCCAGGGTCTGGTCCCTCCTGATGACTTATCCAAAGTATGTGAAATAAAGTCTCACCATCTTCCCTTCTAAGGAGCATGCTGGCTATATTTCTTCCAAGACAGAGTTGTTCATTCTCTTGGCAGTCCATGGTATATTTAATATTCTTCACCAAGACCATAATTCAAAGGCATCAATTCTTCTTTGGTCTTCCTAATTCATTGCCAGTTTTTGCATGAATATGAGACAACTGAAAAGGCCACGGCTTGGGTCAGGCACACCTTAGTCTTTAAAGTGACAACTTTGCTTTTTAACACTTTAAAGAGGTCTTGTGTAGCAGATTTACCCAATGCAATATGTTGTTTGATTTCTTGACTATTGCTTCCATGGGCATTGATTGTGGATCCAAGTGTTATGAAATACTCAAAAATTTTATTTTCTTCTCCATTTATCACATTGCTTATGATCCAGTTGTGAGGAGTTTTGTTTTATGCTGAGGTGTAATCCAAAGGCTGTAGTCTTTGATCTCATCATAAGTGCTTCAAGTCATCTTCACCTTCAGCAAGCAAGGTTGTGTCATCTGCATATTGCAGGTTGTTAAGAGTCTTCCTCAAATCCTGATGCCATATTCTTCTTCATATAGTCCAGCTTCTCAGATTATTTGCTCAGCATATGGATGTCATAAGTATGATGAAAGGATACAGCCCTGATGCACATCCTTCCCAGTTTTAAAGCACATAGTAACCCCTTGTTCTGTTCAAATGACTGCTTCTTGGTCTATGTATAAGTTCCTCATGAGCACAATTAAGTTAGTGTTCTGGAATTCCCATTCTTTGCAATGTTATCCATAATTTTTTATGATCCACACAGCCAAATGCCTTTGCATACTTAATAAGAGAGAGATAAACATCATTCTGGTATTCTCTGCTTTCAGCTAAGATTCATCTGACATCAGCTATGACGTCCTTCATTCTATGTCCTCTTCTAAACCCAGTTTAAATTTCTGGCAGTTTCCTATTAATGTACTGCTACAACTGTTTTTGAATCATCTTCAGCACAGTGTGCCTGAGGACCCCCTAATTCAAGGTGCCTCCTGTTGTTAGGTATCACTGAGTCACTTCTGATTCATAGCGACTCTACGTACAACAGAATGAAAAGTGCTCAGTCCTGCGCCATCCTCACAATCCTTGCTATGCTTGAGCCCATTGCTGTAGCCTCTGTGTCAATCTATCTCATTGAGGGTCTTCCGTGTTTTTAGTAACCCTCCACTTTGCCAAGCAAGGGTGCCTGAGATCCCCTGGTGTGTAAACCATCAGGGAGTGACTTGGGAGCCCCAAGTAGAAGGCAAAGTGAGGGTTAAAACTGTTGGGCTTGTGGTGTTGGGTGGGGAGTGGGTACAGGAGGTAGGTAGGCACTGTCCCTACTTTACAGATGAGAGGCTGAGGCTCAGGGAATGTTCCCTGAGGCTTAGGAACAAGGTTTCCAATCTTGAACTGATCCCAGTCACTAGGTTATTTTTCCCTCATTAAATATATTTAAGCTACTGTTATGCCTAAAGCACTATATAGATAAAACTGCTCATATTTTGGAAATTTACTATTCTAAAACACTGATTTAGTGCTAATGGGAAGCCAATGAATATTCTAATGAAATGATCACCTCATTACTAATATGGATTAAGGTAATCAATCAGTAGCTAGCTTATCTCTCTGCAGATTCTCTTAGGGATCAAGTTGTGAAGTTTTGCTTTGCTTTTTCATTGGATGGAACAGTATGAGAGGCACCAATGATAGAAGTGGCAACCATGCAGCCTTGGGAGTTGCACATTGCATATGATAAACCGGTTAACCGGCTGCCAGCAAGTTGATGCCAACCAGGGCTTTGAACTGGTTCATTCCAGTTAGATCCCCTGCTGAGAATTTGCCTTTCTACCCAGATAAACTGAATCAGAATCTACACTGAATCTACATTTCAACAAGATTTTAACATAATTATATCTTATGTCTACATTAAGAACCACCTGAGGATCTATAAGAATCACCTGGGGATCTTGTTAAACTATAGATTCTGATTCTGTACATCTGGGGTGGGAATACAAAGTCTCAGTGGTGGTAGAATCAGAATGAACCAGTTTGAAGGCCAGATTCCAACTCACAGCAACCCTATGTGTGTCAGAGTAAAACTGTGCTTTGTAGGGTTTTCAGTGGCTGATTTTTGGGAAGAACAGCACCAGGATTTTCTTCTAAAGTGCCTCTGGGTAGACTCGAACCTGCAACTTTTTGGTTATAGCAGCCAAGTGTGTTCATGGTTTGCTCCACCCAAGGACACTTGTGTAAGATGACATCCTCTACAAGCCTTGGATAGCTCGACTGGGAACAGGCACTCAGATGAAAAGGCACCACTAGGTAGGAGCAAGTGATGGTGCAACAAGTTAAGCACCTGGCTGCTAACTGCCAAGGTTGGCTATTCAAACTCTGGCAGTTGCTCCATGGGAGAAAGACCTGCTGATCAGCTCCCATAAGGAGTACAGCCTAGAAAACCCTGTAGGGCAGTTCTACTCTGTCACATGGGGTTGCTATTAGTTGAAATTGACTCAACAGCACCTAACAAGCTAGGCCAGTCCCCAAATGCAGAGAGAGGCCCAGGCTCTCACAATCAGAAGTGATTCTGAATATGCCCACCCCCATGGGTTGACAAGTCTAAACCTCAAGGCTCTAAATGGGCTCCATTAAGCACAGGGTGCTTTAGCAGAAAGGGGTGAGAGTGGAATGGAATTTCTAAAGGTCAAAGGGGAAAAAAAACAAGATGACAAAAACTAAAATGTAGCGTGGGCACAAGCATGAGAGCAAAGCTGCTGAGTATGCAGAGTGGTGGGGTGGCAGGAGGGGTACCTTTGTGTTTCTTGACAGTGCCTGGCTCCGACACACTCAGAGAGCTCTCTGACAGCTCATCCCCATCCAGGTCCAGTGGGCTGTGGCCGTCCCACTCTGTGTCCCGTGACTCTTTCTCCAAGTCCCAGGAGTCGAGTTCATTCTCCTCAGGTTCAAGGGCAGGCAGGGCCTGGGCAGGTGGATCTTCCTCGAGGGGGGCAGTGGCTACAGCAGCCCCTAGATGGGACAGGGACTCCTCCTGATGCTCACTGTCCATGGAGGCTGCATAGTCCAGCATCAGGGCAGCTTCGTTGTCCTGAGTTAAGGAGGTCTGTCGGGGCAAAACACATTGTCAGAGGCCAAGAGAAACCCAGCTTGAGCAAAGATGAAAGCAGGTATGTGGAAGTAGGGGAGGGAATGAGACCACTGGCAAAGCACTGCTCAAATCTTGTTTGACCAGTGATTTCAAAGTATCACAAGACACACCTGGCCCCTGTAAGAAAGCAGCTCCATTATCAGGGGAGCTAATGCAGCAAATAACACCCTGCGTGATGTAAACAGTTAATGCGCGAGGCTGTTAATCAAAAGGTTGGAGGATTGAGTCCACCCAAAGGCATCTCAGAAGAAAGGATTGATGGTCTACTTCTAAAAAGTCAGCTACTGAAAACCCTACAGAGTCCAGTTCTACTCTACACATACAGGGTCTCCATGAATTGGAGTTGACTTGAAAGCAACTAACTGATAGGGTTAGAAATTGGAATAGTGGTTCTTTGGAGGATGGGAGAGTGACTAAAAGGAGACAAGAGGGGCTTCTTGGGAGCCAGTCATGCTGCTCTTAATTGTTGGTGGTGGGGAGCATTACACAGGTGAGTTTGCTTAATGACAAGTAACAGTTGCACTTTTCTGACTTAAATGCCATTTTGAAGAACCTCCCACTGACTCAAGATGGGAACATCATTTGAGCATCAGTAAAAATTAGACTGCAATGGACTGAGTACTTTAAATGTTAAGCCACAAGTTTCTAATGAAACAAAACAAAAACCTAGGTGAAATAATCATGGGCTGTGTCCTTATTTCTCTCATTCATCTAACAAGTTGCCACTGAGTCAACACCAACTCATAGTGACCCCATGTGTATCAGAGTAGAACTGTGCTCCACAGGGTTTTCAATGGCTGCGATTTTTGGAAATAGATCACCAGGCCTTTCTTCTGAGGTGCCTCTGGATGGGCTTTGACTAAGAGTCAATTGCATTAACCATCTACACCACCTAGGGACTCCCTCATCCATCTTGTGTGAGCAGCTGAGTCAATTCCAACTCTTAATAACCCTATAGGACAGAGTAGAACTGCTCAATAGTGTTCCTAGGCTGCAATTTTATGGAAACACATTGCCAGGTCTTCTCTCCCATGGAATGGCGGGTGGGTTCAAATCTCCAACCTTCTGGTTAGCAGCCAAGCACTTAACCATTGTGCCACCAGGGCTCATTCTCATCCATTTGTTCCAGCCTTCTGGTTAGCAGTCAAGTGCCTTAGGCACTATGCTACCAGAGCTCCTCTCATCCATTTAGGCCTAAAGAATACCCAAACTAATGGACTGGGGCATTCCCATAGGCCATCGGCCCCCTGCTGTCCACCAGTGGAAATGCACATGGGAAGCCATGTCAGGGCCACCTGTGGCCTGGCATTTAATGGGACTGGGGGCCCTGGGCACTCACTCCTGAACTAAATGGCAATGTAGGCAATTTGCCTTTGGTACTTCTCATATCTCCTTCTCGGCATTCCTTCTTGCCCCAACCTATTGCCCTTCAGTTGACCAAAGGTAGTCTTGCCATATCCAATCCACCTTCGTGTTCAAAATCCTTTCCCATCCAAATCAAAATCTCCCAACCATCCTTGCACCTCTCACCCTGGACTTGTTCATTCTGAAATGTCAAAAAAAAAAAACAAAGTGAGAGTCTGTAGCTTAGAAGCTTGCCCTTACAGATGCCTGGCTGCCACCTGGGTGGACTTCACACTTACCATCGCTCTGGGCACAAACATCACAGAGCAGGAGAGGGGAAAGAATGTGCATCGGGATTTAAAGCAATCTTTGTTTCCCCCCAGTAATAAAAGTAATAAACATTCATTGCAAAAATAAATAAATAAATGCTTTAGAAATGTGTAATATGGAGAGTGAAAGTTTCCCTTAATCGGGATGTGATCAGGGCAGAGGTTCTGCACCAAACAGGTGTACTAACAGGGAGTCTTAGGTAATGAGATTCTTTGTGTTTCAAAAATTTTTCTTCAAATGACTCACTAAACTTTCAACAACCAAAGCTTTACCAGCCAGAACCTTTCAAGTTTCCTTCATAAACAGGATAAATTGCATAAATGTGGCACCCATAAATCATCCTTCTGTTGGATGAGGAATGTAATTTGACATCCGTATATGGAATTTTCTGGATTGTCATCAAATACTTGGGTCTACAAAAGGAGAAATGGCAAAAGCCAGTGTCACACAAAACACTTCTCCAAGGTGCCTCAACTGTACCTTGGAGATCCCCGAGATGATGATAGTACTTTTCTTTCGTGGTGACTTAAGTTTCAGTTTTGAAGATTCGCTGAGTTGTCGGATGGCCACTTCTGCCACTGGATCTGAACCGTTCAACACCAACAATTCTGTCAGCAGGAAGACAGTGTTGAGTTTGTTAGCAAAAATTAAAAACTTCTGGGGAACTTCCAGGGTGATGGAAATGGTCTAGTGTAGGTTTTGGGAAAGCCTTTTCTGTAAAAGGCCAGGAGGTACATAGTTTAGGTGTCACAGGCCAACGAGTCTTTGGCACAACTACTCAACTCTGCCTTTGTAACATGAAAGCAGCCATAGACTAAGTTAGCAAATGGATACAGCTGGGTTCCAATAAAACTTTATTTATAAAAACAGGTGATGGGCTGGATTTACCCACAGGCCATAGTTTTGATGACTAGATCTATAGCTTGACTGTGTGGCTATACCATACACATTGAACTGTACATTTAAGATGCACTCATTTTGTTCTATATAGATTATACTTCAATGTAATGAATAACGAAAAGCAAGAAAACAAAACTAAAAACCTCTGATTTTTTGAACTGTAAAAGGCAAAGTAGTTACTCTTTTTTTCTCCCAAGGGTGATTAAAAAGAGCTCTGGTGGTGCTGTGGTTAAATCACTAGGCTACTAAACAAACAAAACAAAATCTACCGTATATGAAAACCAAGGAGTCTTGGTGCCACAGTGCTTAAGCATTCAGCTGATAACTGAAAGGTTGGTGATTTGAACCCAGCAGCTGCTCCATGAAAAAAAGATGAGGCAATCTGCTTCCATAAAGATTTACAGCCTTAGAAACTATGGGACAGTTCTACTCTGTCCTACAGGGTTGCTATGAGTCTGAATCAAATCATGGTAGTGGGTTTGGTTTGGGTAAGGGTGATGAAATGTATAGAATAATAATCAGGGGTATGAAGGGTCAGTTAACAAATGCAGCTCCTTCCCACTGGCCAAAGAGTTTCGTGTGCATTTTTAAATCCCCATTTTACAAATGGGAAAATGTCTGCCATCCAGGGGGGCAGCTGAGCCACAATGCTCAGCCTTACAGCTGACTTACATGCTTATAAGTCTATTATTCTTCCTAAAATAAAGCTACAAAACGAATACAGTAGCAGGCTATTAAAAGGAACTTTCCTGCCTCCTTTTTTGGCCACATCCTGAGGTCAATAAAAGCCACATTTCCAGAAGATGTGTGAGAGAACCAGTGGCTGAGAAGTGCTTGGCCGCAGATGCATGGTGAAAAGAAAGGGGTCAAGAGAAAAGCTTTGGGGAGGGTTCTCTTGGGAAAAACTGTGCTGTACCACTCAATGCCTCCACGTAGCAGGGTGTGGGGAGTGTCATCTCCTTAGCCCACACCTAGGGCTTCCCTCCACATTCAGATCTCTTGGTCAAGGTGCCAGGATGGCTGAGGAAGCTGCCATGGTCCTTGCCTGCACAGTGGAGGGTAAACCCATGGGCCAGATGAGGATTCCACAGCAGCAGTGTCAGCCTAACATCTTATGTTAATACACTTAATATTTTATAGCAATTTTAGGTTTACATAAAAATTGCTCAGAAAGTACACAGAGTTCTCATATACCTCCTTTCCCCCTCTGCACATTGTTAATCCTATATTAACATGTTGGATTCATGTGGAATAGTTATAGCAATTGATGAATCAATCTTGATACATTAAGTCCATAGTTTACATTGTTGTTGTTGTTGTTGTTATGTGCCGTCGAGTCGGACCCGACCCATAGTGACCCCTCCTTGGGTTTCTGAGGCAGTATCACTACGGAAGTAGATTGCCCCATCTTCCTTCAGAGGAATGGCTGGTGGGTTTGAACCGCCAGCCTTCTGATTAGCAGTAAAGTGTCTTAGGCACTACGCTACCAGAGCTCCCTCAGGAGTGAGTTCAATTCCAGACCTGACAGGCAGCTAGAGGCCATAATCTCAGGGGTTCCACCAGGCTCCATCAGACCAGCAAAACCTGTTTTTTTTTGTTGTTGTTGTTGTCTTTATGATTTTGAGTTTTGTTCCACCGTGTTCTCCTACTTTTGTCTAGGATCTCCTACACAGATCCTCCTCTGAGTGGTTGACAGTGGTAGCCGAGCACCATCTAGTTCTTCTGGTCTCATAGTCATATAGACTGAGGATCATATGATCTATCAGACCCTTGGACTAACTATTTCCATGTGTCTTTGGTTTTCTTCATTCTTCTTTGTTCTGAAGGAAGAGAGACCCATTGTTGCATCTAGATGGCTGCTTGCAAGTCTTTTCATATGCTTAAGATCTTTTAGAAGGGATCCTGCACAGGGGAAAGGACGATTCCACAGTATGAGGTAGTAGGTGTACTTCCAGGGCCAAGAGCTGAGGATGGGGCATCAGGATCATTGCTTGTATCTGTGAAGTTGCATTTGGAGGTAACCAGAAAGGGACTATCCAAAGAACCGTGAAAACACCCACAAGGGAAAAAATCTGTTTTAAACTTCTGCCAGTTAAGTGACAGTACCCATCAAATAACAACTTTCTGCCTACTACTCTACTCACTGCTCCTCCTTGCCCTATCTCCAGTCTTGGCAAGGTCAGAAACATCATTGAGTACAAGATAAGGGAGCAAAAAAGACACTAACCACTTGCCCCTTAAAGAAAGATTTAAAGAAGGAGCACTGGTAAAATAGTGGTTAAAGCTAACCAAAAGGTTGGCGGTTCAAACCCACCAGCCATTCTGGGGGAGAAAGATGAGGCGGTCTACTTCCATAAAGATTTACAGCCCTGAAAACCCTATGGGGCAATTTTACTGTGTTCTAAAGGGTCGCTATGAGTCAGAATCGACTCAACTCGATGCCACTGGGTTTTTTGGGGTTGGGATTTAAAGAGACAGTAAGTTAGCTCTTTAAAGATGTATACTACCTGAAAGTGACCATAAAAAACATGAAGCTTGCATCCCATGGCTAAGGAAATTTATTCCTATTAAACAGGTTTAAAGGGACAGTGGGAGACAAAGTTGTTTTTATGATTATGTTCCATGAGTCCTACTGATTTTATAATATCAATGTAACTAGTATTCACTGTGTTGTACCATCCTATGGGATTTAATATATAAATGTATAATGTTATGGGTCCATCAATAAAGTATCATGCAGAATAATTTCACTGGCCTAAAAAAATGCCTTGTGCTCCACCTATTCAACCCTTGCTATCTCTCCTTGATTCCTCGGCAACCACTGATCTTTTGACTGTCTCCATAGTTTTGCCTTTTCCAGTTGGATTACTGTATTTACTTTGTTAAAGTGTGCCCTAGAACTTAAGGGGGGATGCAAACACCACGCTAGTCTTTGGTCAACTTTCTACTTCTGGTTCTTCACTTATTATTAAAAAACAAAAACAAACAAACAAAAAAAAACACTTCCTAAATTCCAAAAAAGCAATATTCATGCTTATTAGATGAGCTAGACTCATTAGACTCAACAGCACATAACAACAACAACAACAACAGACTCATTAGAACACTTCACAAGATGGTAGGAGGGTGGACAATGCAATTGTGCTCTTTATTACCTGTGTCAGAAGAAGAGAAAGTCTTACTGACAGGGGCGCTGTGGCAGGAGATGGCTTGGACGGAAATATCCTTCTCGATTACCTTCACTTTCACAGGCATTTTCACAGGAGACTCTGTCAAGGAAAGCCTCCAGTTACAAACGGCACCCGAAAAGTTATCTGAATCAACACTTACTGAAAAGTGACACTACCTCTCATTTCACTGCTAGTTTATCCAGTGGTAAAGGCAATGACCAACTTTAAAACTTCTTTAATAATCCTTATTAATAGTAGTAGTAGCACTAGTATCATTATCTGGGTCAAAAGTGGGGGTCAAAAGTGGTGTTAGGAGCCCAAGTCTAAGTAAAATTTCAGAAACATTTAATTAAGCCCGAATTTAATTTTCTATTTTGCATTCAAGAACTGTGCCAAGTGATCTATTCTTGGAAAACAATACTTTTGCACAATACTTACACAAGACACAATATAAATAAATAAAACAATATCAACTAAGTATACATTACACGGGAGTTCTGGTAGCATAGTGGCTAAGGCACTTGACTGCTAACCAGAAGGCTGGCGGTTCAAACCCACCAGCCACGCCTCGGAAGGAAGATGGGGCAATCTACTTCTGTAGTGATATTGCCTCAAAAACCCAAGGCGGGGTCGCTATGAGTCAGATCCGACTCGACGGCACATAACAACAACAACAACATACACTTACACAGAAATTGTCTCCATGGTAATGGTTGTAGTGACATGTACAAAATTCAGCTGATCTACATTGACTGATGTCAATACTTCCAATAGATATGTTTTAATACAAGCAACTCTACCCTGACCATTGACATCTAATTTTTCAACATAGCACATGCTGACCCCACATAAACAAATTACCTTAGTTTAAATTATACTAAAGTATAGCTACTTATAATATCTAGGTTTTGTGGTTATTATTATTGTTAGTGTCTATCGAGTCGGCCCGGACTCGTGGTGACCCTGTGCACTACAAAACAAAACTCCACCTGGATTTAGGTTATCCTCATGATTAATTGTGGATCTGGCCAGTGTGATCCATTGGTTGATTTTCCTAAGTAGACTGACAAGCCTTTCTTCTTTGTGTATCTTAGTCTGGAAGCACCACTGAAAACTATTCAGCATCACAGCAACACACTTTCATTGACAGATGGGTGATGGCTGCACATGAGGTGCATCAGCTGGGACTTGAACCCAGGTCTCCTGCATGGAAGATGAGGAATTCTACCACTGAACCACACTGCCCTCTCTAGATTTTAGCTTCAGAATATACTACAAGGTTGTACCTTGATTCAATTTATCAGGTATTTATTTGACAAAATAGAAACGTAATCATCTTTAAAAAAAAAGAAGCAAAACTCTTGCCAATTTTGTCTTCCTTGGCTAAGAGATTTTCTTAATAACACTCAGTGCTGTAGCCTACAGTGCATTGCAGTGTATATAGGGGAAGATGTTTACATAGAAAACCCTAACTCTACAGTTTCTGAAAGGACATCATGCTCGCAATTCTCTCACCAGGGCTCAGTGGGGACACCCTCCCCATGTCGAAGCGAGGCTTGGTTTTCACGGCAGTCACCGTCGTGACCACTGTACCACAGGGCATCACTGTGCGGTCTTTCTCTATCTTCGCAGCAGGAACAGGGGGAGGGATTGGCCAGGGCTTTGATTCACTGGGTTCTATGTAAGAAAACTGCAGAGAAGGTTGGTTACTTATTTTGTAGTAAGTGCAAAGGCTGGTCCCTGCCATTGGTACCCTGACTTCCTTTGAAACAGCCACAGATTTCTTCATTTAATGTCTGTTATGGATTGAACTGTGTCCCCCCCAAAAACAATACATGCTAGAATACTAACCCCTATACCTGTGGATGTAATCCTATTTGGAAATAATAGAGTTTTCTATGCTACGTTAATTAGATTACACTCAAGTAGGATAGGTTCTACATCTATTCACTTCTAAGTTATAAAAAGAGCAGATTAGACACACAAACACACATGGGGTTGTAGGAGAGTGACAGACACTCTTCTCTACTGAGACAGATGCATATGCAAGGCTTGTCAGCATCTAGAAGCTGAAATAGACAAGGAAGGCCCCCCCCCCCTTGAGCCACAGCCTGAATTTGAAATTCTAGCCTTCTGAATTTTGAGAAAGTACACTTATTTTTTAAAAGATAACCACTTGTCCTATTTGCACTATAGAAGCACTAGGTAACTAAGGCAGTGAGTGCCACTTCATATTTTCAACTACCCTGGATTTTCCCAGGATTGCCGTAGAATGATGCCATCCAAGCTCAACCATACTCAGCACATAATGATGGGGACAAAAGCCGGACATGCAAACAAATACCACAGAGGGTTAGCCCTCTGTGAAATGGCATGATGAAAAGTTATTTCATAGCAGATACACTAGGGTGGGCTGGGCCTGCTCCATTCATGTCTAGAAATGGGGACTATAGAATGGCTTTTCTGTTTGGAAATGTCACAGTGAAGGAAGAACAAGAGTCTAACAAATATAAATGAAGATGCTCATATGAAGTGAGCTGGCTGCCCCTTGGCCATGGTAGGCCATGATGGCCGTACCTCCACAGTGACCGAGCCCAACACTGGGCTGCCCATGGTGGACCTGCTGGTCAATGCAAAGCTCTGTGGTCCAGAAGGCTGCTTCTTAAATAAATCTAAAGGTATCGTTGTCATTGCAAACAGACCTAAAGAGACAGAAGACAAGCGAGATGCATCATTGATGTTTCCATGAGGGAAAAGGGCCAAGGTGGACTGTGACAACTGGACTGAACTTCGTGATGTATGTCCTGTTAGCCTCAAAACGCTCATGCTTCAAAATATTAAGAAAAAAAATCAGTAGTATTAAAAAAAAAAAGCTATGAAATGTTCTAGACTAAAGAGAAGTGAGAATTATAGGCCACACCTTATCCTATGCTGCAGTGGAGAATAACTGCTATAAAGGACATGATAGAGTCACCTGACAAAAACTAGAATATGGTGGTACACTGGATAAAAGGATGGTGTCAATGTAAATGTAAGAAGTTGATTACTGTACTGTGGACATGAAAGAGGATATCCTCATTTCTGGGAAGTATGCACCAAAGAATTTAGGGGTGAAGGGCTATGATGTATGCAAAACCGAAAAACCAAACCAGATGCTGTTGAACTGGCTCATAGTGAACCCATATACGTTAGAGTAGAACACAGATGGAGCTTGCACTGGCTGATCACCTTCCAAAGTACCTGTGGATGTACTGAACCTTCAGCCTTTTGGTTAGCAGCTGAGCACTTAACCGTTTGCACCATCCAGGGGACTCCTTTGATGTATGTGACTTACCCTCAAGTGGTTCCAAGAAAGTAGTTCATGTTTATGTACACATGTGTGCACTTGTTTGGGGTGGTGGTGGAAATGATAAAAAAAAAATGGGGCAAAATGTTAAAAATTGGTGAATGAAGGCTATAAGGTTGTTCTTTGTATAACTTTTTGTTAGTTTGAAATTACTCTTTTTTTCCCAAAGTTTTATTTCTTTTGTCATTGTTGCTGAAGATACACACAGCAAAACATACATCAATTCGACAGTTTCTACAAATACCATTCAGTGATGTGGATTACATACTTAAGAGTTGTACAGCCATCCTCACCCTCTTTTTCTGAGTTATTTTCCTTCCTCATTAACAAAAGTCCACTGCCCCCTAAGGTTGCTGTTGTCAATTTGATCCCATACACCAAAAACCAAACCCACTAGGCGTTTGCCTCTACCTCAAGGCTCCTTTCTCTGGGCTCCAGAACTTATTCTACTCTGACACCCCACCCAAGTCTCCATCCCTTTTATTAGGGACTCGATGGCAAACAACAACAACAACAACAACAACTGACCCAATGCCATCGAGTCAATTCCAACTCAGAGCAACCGTTTAGGACAGAGTAGAACTGCCCCATAGGATTTCCAAGGCTGTAAATCTTTATGAAGCACACTGCCTCATCTTTCTCCCAAGGAGTAGTTGGTGGGTTTGAACCACTGACGTTTTGGTTAGCAGTTCAATGCTTTGACCACTATGCAACCAGAGCTCCTTGATCCCATATAGATAATTTGTAAAAGAGCATAATACTCAAGACAAACCTTTTTTGCTAGTTAAGCTAAACTATTTTTCAATTTTAAGATGACTTCAGGGGATATTTTTGATTTAAGGTTTAATGATTATCTCAGGGCAATAGTTTCAGGGGTGAAATTATTCTTATTTTTGTAAGTTTGAACTTTTCTAAGTCCCATCAAGCTGGACTGGAATGAAATCTGGTGGAGTCAATAGGAATGTGGTCAGGAATGGGCTTCTCTCCACACAAACGATGACCACACCCTACATTCATCCCCTCAATTGCCCCAGAATGTCAGTTCTTATCTCACGTGTATCCCTGAGTCACAAAATCAAGGAAATGAATGGCCTCAAAATTCTTGCTAATCTTTGGGATCTTGAATTGCTTTTTCCTAGTATTCCTACTTTTAGTAAGTAATGAAATGGCTTGATTTCAGAGCTGGATAAGCCAGGTAATGATCCCTTTCCCCACTCTGATATGTTTTATGAGGATATTTAAAATGTAGCTGGGTGGCACAAACAGTTAAGCACTCTCCTACTTAGTCAAAAGGTTAGTGGTTCGAACCTACCCAGAGGCACCTCCGAAGAGACAGGCCCTGCGATCTGCTTCCAAAAGGTCACAACCTTGAAAACCTTATGGACTCTACACATGTGGGGTTGGACTCAACTTGACGGCAACAGCAATATCCACATCCACTTAATGACTTTCTAACTGTTGTTTTCTTATATCTAAAACATGTGTCTAGTTGTAGCCACTGTGGCTTATTTAACAAGGGAAAAGCAGTTGAACATGCCCTTCCCACAGTATATGCCCACAAGGTATGTATAACTGAAAGTGTCTTTGAACCCAACATTCCACTGTGAGAACCCAGAGTTTAGGGAAGTGGCTACCTCTTTGTTCAGGTCCCACTACCTTCCCCAACTCCCTAAGGCTGGGTCCAGGTGAGTGGATGACTTTTCCAGACTACAGGGCCTCCATCCTCTGCTCAGCACCCACCTTCTTCTTCTTCTTTTTTTAATAATTTTTTTTTTTTTTTTTGACCCTGCAACCATGGTACTGAGCCCACAGGTCCAATTACTCGTTCCCTCCAGGTAGCTGGCTGTGGCCAAGAAGCCACCACAACCTTGTCCCTTGTCAGCTCTACTATACACCTGGACATTCTTACAGTGCATACAAATATGCATGTAGAAACATTGTCTGCTAATCCTATACATGGTCATGGGCACATATCAGGTACGTCTAGTACCTGAGTGTTCAGCCCGTCCACCCATGTATCCACCTGTAGATCAATGCTTGCCATCACTGACAACACAATACTGTACATACAAAAGGGTTCATCTTTCTTGTCTGTACCTCCCAGGTACCTCTCTATGTCTTCCTCTTCCACAGCACCCACCTTCTGAGGATCTCCCATCCTCTGAAAGCTGCAGTTGTAACTCCTTAGATTTGGCGTTCAATTCACTGTGGAAAGGAATAAAAGCAATGAATTCTTAAAAATACAATGATCAATTACTTTTTTGAAATAGTATTTTTTCTGATTATACAAACACTAAGTCATCCTCAATATTTAAGAAACTATGAGGCATATAACCAAGAAAGTAAGTTTTATCTGTGACTTCACTACCTACAAATAGTCCCAGTAAATATTGTGGTGAATAGTCTTGCAGAGCTGTCCAGTAGAATTTTCTGCAATGATAGAAAACATGGAATTTAACATACCTCTTTCCTCTTTATAATCTATTTTTTTCACTTAAGATACCATGGACAACTTCCCATGTCTATAAATATAGAGCAAGTAATATCATTTCTTTTTTCCTTTTTTTCTTCCTTCCTCACCTCCCCCCAACCATCAAAGAATTTCTTTTTGTGTGAAACCCAATTCTCTACATTTTGCAACATTGCTGTTGTTGTTAGGTGCCATCAAGTTATTTTCGACTCATAGTGACCCCATGCACAGCAGAACGAAACACTGCCCGATCCCACGCCAGCTCCACGATCCCTGCTATACTTGAGCCCATCATCGCAACCACTGTGTCAATCCATCTCGTTGAAGGCCTCTCCCTCTTTTGTCGACCCTCCACCCTACCAAGCATGACATCCTTCTCCAGGGAATGGTCCCTTCTGACAACATGACCAAAATAGGTGAGGCAAAGTCTGGCCAT